AGTGATGTCGTTATTGTGAAGCTTTTATGTGTTTCAAGCTTGTGGATATTGTGTACCTTTTGTAAGGTTGAGATGTCAGATAACATGTCATGACATGTGGTTACTAGAGGTAGTTATTTGTGCGCTCGACAGGGCGTGTTTAGTTAAACCATGTGAATATGATGAGTCGAATCACATGGTCTCATGTTTCTCATGTTGGACTCTGATAGAATGTGTTATGTCTGAGAGAATTTATATTTCTTTGCAGTTTGAAGAGCACTCAATGGATGTCTCGATTGATGAATGGGAGATGTCATATGTGATGTTTTGGGTTGCATCACTCCTAATGGCTGAAAGGAGTGTGTTTAGAGTCCACTAGAAAGCATTGTGATTATGCTTTATTGCATATGGTTATGTTTGGGAAACATCCTAGGATGTTGTTGTGAATAAGAGTTTGTTTGCATTGTGTGACAATGTCTGACAAGTTGTTAGGAAATTTTTCTGAACATGTTTTTTCCTTGAGACTAACAATGAAATACTATGAATGGTGCTATTAGGAGGGAGTATGGCACGTGTTTCACAGTATGCGTGAATGTTGCATTTGTGTTTTGTTGTTTTGGTTTTGCATTAGCATTACTTTAATGTGCTAATGTGCTACTGTGGTTTGTTTTGGTTAGTTGCTTCCTTTATCATATTATGGCTAAAAGGGGGGGAGAAGTGTGTGTGCACTAACCACTGATTATTGGATGTTATTGAGGGGTAGAATTTCTGATTCTCTATTGTGATAGAAGGTGTTGAGAGGGAGTCCCTGCTGTTCTGGATTGAGGTGCTCCGAAGAGATGTCGGATATGACGTCTTGACATCATGGCTAGTGAAGTGTCTTGGCTAGTGATTGTCATGGAATTGTGTCTTTCGTTTTGCTGTCATGGAAGTGTGTCTTCCTGTTTGTGTCTAATTACTGTCTGTAATTGAAGAGGTATTGAGGAGGGCCTCATTTCTAGGTGAGTCTTAGATAGAAGTCTAGAAAGGGTAGTGATTAAATGATTAGGCCGTAAACTGGAGGTTTTTTGTAGGGTCTATGAATTGATACTCTTTGAGTGGACTTATCCCTCTGGCTTGGTAGCTCCCAGAGTAGGAAGGTTGTTCTAAACTTGGTTAACAATTTAATGTGTTATTTATTGCTTTTCAGTACCGTTTATGTATGACTTTACCCTGCCTATTTGTTTATGCCGGATCAGATGTCCTAACATGTCATAGGACATCTGAATTCTATCATACAAGAATTTCAAAACCTGCAGCAAATCAGCATAAACTTCTACACAAAGATTGGACTTCAATAATTAGTTTCCTAAATTATCTCCATAATTAGAAACTAAGAATATTCCTTGAATTCAGCTTGAATCTCTTAATCCTTAAATTGAGCGCCACAAAGGATAACAGAATATTCCTAGAATATTCAACATCTGTAAAATCTAAAAGAATCCCACAGTCCAGCTGTACATAGGCGCGATATCGAATGATCCTGCTTAGGACATCTTATTCAACATGTTTCTCCAGTTACTAGAACATCCTATTTCAACATCTTTATGCTCAGTTAGTTTTACCAAACATAATTCCAATCACAAAAATAACGATTTATCTTATACCATAGCAAACCAATATCCAGGTTTACTTGCAGTAACTTGAACCTAAAATTTCCTACAGTAGAGAACTTCATAAGAGTTGTAGAAGCAGAAGAAAAATTGTTGACAATTCTAAGAGATATTCAACCAACAAGAGAAAAACAATATGAGTTTGGATTATTAGTAAGTTCAGATAAAAATTTTCAGTGCAATCGTGTTACAGAAAGTTGATGATGGAAGCATAACCAGTCAACATGGAGATCAAAACTCAAAATGTTATTCAAGTCTTATGGAATGTGAAAGTCCCCTCAAAGATTAAAATGTTTACATGGAGTCTATTGTTGGATAGACTTCCAATAAGAGGTCAGCCTATAAAAAGGAAGATTATCCCAATTAGTGAAGAGAATAAGTGTACCTTTTGTGCAAGTCATGAGGAACACCTTATGCATCTTTTATTTCTGGGTAATTTTGCTACTGCAGTTTGGAAACAGATACACCTGTGGACTGATAGTGCTAGTTGGAAAGGACATACTCAAGTGATCACCTTTTGAACCATTACAAAAGGTGGAAAGGTAAAACAGGAAAGAATAAAGAGTGTATGGTTTGGATGACAACTTCATGGTGTTTGTGGAGAGTGTAAGTGTTTGTTGGCAGCAATTTTGGTAAAACACTGACTTGATAACATTTTGCTAAATGTCTTGACATTTGAAGCAAACTGGTTTTGAATGATGTCAAAGCAGATGTCTTGACATCTGTCTCCTGATCTGAACGTGACTTCATATTTGTTTCTTGTTTTTATGTGTGCCATTATTCAAGATTTGTGACTCATAGTTTGTGAAAAATATGGAGGAATATTTTTCTATTTGCATTATCCTTATGGATTTATCTCTTTGCATGTTTTCATGGAAATATTCAAGAGATTGGAATTTTTTTCCAGTCTAAATCCACTGTTGTGCCTTTATAAGGACTTGCATCCTTATTCATCATGCTGCAACTTTTAAAAAGAAGAATATACTCTTTCTGTTTTAGAAGTCTAAGCCTTTTTAATTGTAATACAGTCTAAGTATTGGTTTAATACTTGAGTGGTAATTTGAGTTGTTAATTGTGGATCATTCATAAACTTTTAAGTATTGAATGATTGAAGTCCTTAAAATTTAATATTTTTGTTGTTCTTCACTGTTAGTGGTTGAATGGATTTGAGGAGGACCTCATACCTAGGTGTGTCTTAGGTAGAATTATAGCACGGGTAGTGATTAAGTAATTAGATCGTAAACTGGTTGTTTACTGAGGCTCTATGAATTGATAATATTTAGTGGGCTTGTCCCTGGTTTGGTAGTCCCTAGAGTAGGTGTTGTTATACACTGAACTGGGTTAATAATCCCTTGTGCTTTTATTACTTTTAATATTGTTACATTTTATACTATTTTCAGATATTTATATCGTGACATCTCATTCGACATCTCATATATGATACCAGAATTTCAAAGAACAAGAAAAAATAAAATATTTTCAATAAAGAAGAATGTGTGATTAGCGATGTAGTGTTTAATGTAAAATTAATGTCTTTACTATGGTTGGGGATAGATTCAAAGAGAAGAAGCTATTGTAATTTTTATTTTGTGTAATCGTATAAGAGTCTCCCTTATACTCTATTTTGATATATCTTGCCTATAAAAAAAATCTATAAGAGGGAATTAGAAAATAAGAAATTATGGGGAAAAATATTTTCTGAACATAAATGTTTATTAGGAATGATTTTGTACTCCTTTATAAGAAAATAGGTATTTTTATTTCTAATTTTAAACTCTCAAAAATATAATTAGCATCCATCAAACAAACACTTCCTTATAGATTAACATAAAATAGTTTTTTTTTTTGTTTTTTTATATATTTTTTATTATAAAAATATTTAAAACAGTAAAATTTATTTCAAACACATTTTAATATATTAAACACTAATTTTAATTTTCAGTAATATAAATATACATGATTGATAATTAAAATATTAATATAATATTTTTACTAAAAGTTATTCAAAATATTTTAAAATTCAAGTGACTTTTTAAAACAATATAAAAAAAATCAATAGCAAAAAGATGACATACCTTAAATAAATTTTTGTGAAAATTATTTAAATCAATTTTTTTATATAAAAGTTTTTTAATAAAAGTAATTTGTAAATTTTTTAAAATAAAAAATATATTGTACTATAAAAAGCATCTTTTAAGTCTTGATGAGGAATTAACCTATACAATTTCCTTTAGAATATATTCAACTTTTAACAAAAATAATAATAATTAATACTATCTTATCTCTATCATATATGCAATTTTTGATTTACCATATATATATATATATATATATATATATATATATATATATATATATATATATATATATATATATATATATATATATATATATATATATATATATATATATATATATATATATATATATATATATATATATATATAACAAACAAAAATGTAGTATCCTATTGACTAAGGTAGGCGCCCCCTGTACCATAGAACCTAGAGTCAATTTTTTTTCATAATTCTTATAATTCTTAATAATTTAATAATATTTAAGATTAAAGATACATTAAAAATCATCTATATAATAGAAGGTAAACTGATATTAATCCGAAAAATAAAATAAAAATCATCTTTAAAAAATGAAACAAACATACCTTAAATGAAAATTAAATAGTTTTTAATGATAATATAATTAAATGATTTTAACATTAATACTAGAATATTAAAATTGATATGATATTCAATTTGACAGTTGAATTGTGATGTTATAGTAGTTTTTAAATTAATTTAATATATTAATTATGCTTTATTACGAGTAAAAGACATGCCATAAATATTTAAACGTCCTTATTTAAGGTTATGTACATGTGTGCATAAAATGTGAATTCTTTTGTCCTGTATATCACTTATAAGAATTTATACATAAGCAATTTAATATTTTTGCACAGGGATCAACTAAATTATTTAACAAAACAATAAAATATTATATTTTATTTGCATAAAAATACTAAATAAATTAAACTAATGTAATCGACATATTATTTCTAATACTCACTTGAAAAAGAAAAATATATTACAATATAAACCATTTTATAGTACAAATAAATCTTTTGTACTAAATCTCTAAATATTAATTACTCTATCTTATTTTACCTTTTTTAATTTATCATTTTTATAGCACGATGATATTTTCCTTTTCATAATTATACCTAATTAAGGCTCTCAGGTTTCATGAAATTTTGACCAACTTTACCAACAATGAAAAGTGAGTTTTTGTGTTGTGTTCTCTAAAATATACTTGAGTCAACCGTGTTTTTCATATTATATATCATATATCATAGAAAAGACTATAACCTTGAAAATGAAGTCATGGATTGTATTATCTGTAACTTTGTTTATCATTATTTTCTTACCATCAACGAATAGTTTAGTGAGAATTGAACGAGAGTTGGGTGAAGCAAGAGTAGCTATTCGAAGAGCAATTAAAAGAAGGAACTTCACAATTATCGCATCAGAGGCACAGGATTTCATCCCAAGAGGAAACGTTTACAGAAACGCTTATGCATTTCATCAGTTAAGTAACTTATACATAAGCTTTTTATTTAGCTTTTTCTCTACACTGTAAGCTTTTTAATTTGCTTCATTAAATTAAAATTTTCTATATCTTGTATCTTTAAAACTATGCAGAAGTCACATGGAAATGGTGAAGAGATTCAAAGTATGGACTTACAAAGAAGGTGAACCGCCACTATTCCATTACGGTCCCATGATTTCAATATACGGCATCGGAGGACACTTCATGTCCGAGATCGAGGACATATCGAGCCGATTCGCAGCGCGCAATCCAGAAGACGCTCATGCATTCATGCTACCCTTAAGTGTCACACACATGGTGAAATATCTCTACAATCCTCTCGTCACATATTCAAGAGATCAAATCATGCGCGTCACCATTGACTACACCAACCTCATAGCGCAAAAGTATTCATACTGGAATAGAAGCAACGGCGCAGACCATTTACTAGTCTCGTGCCACGATTGGGCGCCGGAAATATCGAAAGAAGATTCGGGTAGAGAGATTTACAAGAACTTGATAAGAGTATTATGCAATGCCAACAAGTCTGAAGAGTTTGATCCTGTAAAGGATGTTTCAATGCCGGAAATTAACTTGCTAAGTTTCAAGCTAAGCTCCCCGAAACCTAGCCGAAACCCTAATAATCGATCGATACTCGCTTTCTTTGCTGGAGGGGCACATGGTATGATTAGAAAGATGTTACAAGATCAATGGAAAGGAAAAGATGAAGAGGTTCTAGTGTATGAGTATCTTCCAGAGAACCTTAACTATAACAATCTTATGGGAAATAGTAAATTTTGTTTGTGTCCAAGTGGTTATGAAGTGGCTAGTCCAAGAATTGTGGAAGCGATTAATACTGGTTGTGTGCCTGTGATTATTTCAGATAGTTATCAGCTACCGTTTAGTGATGTTCTTGATTGGAGCAAGTTTTCATTGAATATTCCACCAAAGAGGATAGGTGAAATCAAGACAATATTGAAAAGTGTTTCACATGAAAAGTACTTGAAGTTGCATGGGAGAGTCTTGAAAGTTCAAAGACATTTTGTCTTGAATCATCCGGCTAAACCGTTTGATGTGTTTCATATGATTCTTCATTCAATTTGGCTTAGAAGACTCAATATTAGGCTACCCCTTGATATTTGATAATTTGAGGATTTCAAAAAAAATTCAATATCTTCTCCATCTCCACGTATGTCAACTCAAAACATAAAATATTTAGAACTTCAAAAACCCTCTCTCACTTCCCTCAATCTTTCATTTTAATGTGGGGATGATTCTTGTTGTTATTTAATTTATATGTTGTTACTGAAATTACTTCTTTCATCAACATTGTTATAGTGATTCAATTTTGGTTTTGTGTTTTTACTTGTAATTATCAATTGTCATTTAGTCTTGGTAATATAGCTTAAAGATTAGTTAAATATTAGGACATGAAACCATTATTTTATTTTTGGTGAATATGTTAAAACTTGTATTTATGGTTGTTATCAATTAAAAACAAAAATAATATAGTAATAATTTTGTGTCACAATCTATTAGAAAAGAATTTTTCCTTACATTATATGAATTGATTATTAAATTACCACTAAAAAAAAAGTCATCCGTCACGGTCAAGAAACTGCGATTATATGTAAAATAACAGTGGTTATAAGTCAAAGTGGTTATAAGCTTTGACCACGAATAAGTGACTGTGGGATATACAGCCGTGACCTAAATTATATGTCACGGCTTTCATGTTTGAGTCACGTTTTATATACATCTGTGACTTGAATAGGCACAGTTTAGGTATCTAGGTTAAGGTCGCGGTGTATCTTGCGCCTCGGTTATTAACAGTGGCTGAATTTAGCCACATTTCTTATTTAATGTATAACTTACGGTTTAGTTGTCTAGATTTACCTACAGGTTATTTATGGCCATTAATTAAAACCGCTGCTAAATTTTGCTCACGGTTTTACACCATTTAAGTAGGTTATGGTTTCTTTTTGTGCCGCATAGTTGTGACAATGGTGTTCTTCATGCCATAGCATAACGAACCATTTTTAGATCAATATAAAATGTCTTCCAACAAGAATACTCATTTTTGTAAATATTGATTAAAAAAATTAAAATCTAATTATACAAAAAAATATTAAGCCACGACATCAAAATATTCATTAAGAAATAAGTAAGTCTACATCAAGTGACGCTACCGACTAATAAGTCGCAAAAATATAGATAAGTTTTGATATTATCATTCTTAAATAAAACCAAGTTTCTCTCGAGAGAGAGTCATCCCAAATTCAAAACAAAAGTTCTTAGAGATAGATAATATAAAACACAACTATTATTAGTTAAACTCATGCATCATAATATTCTTCTTCTTGGTCATCTCCTTTTTTTTCTTCTTCCATATCTTGATGACAAGCTTCTTCGTCGCCATTCTGCAAGGAACATGATACATAAATTAATATAAGCAAATCATTTTAGAAAAGAACAAAAATTAATGTGTTTTTAGGAATTTTAATTCATTTTGAAATCATATATCATTTGTAGGAATGTGGTTCATTTGTAGGCAAAAAGAGACAAAAAGAGAACAATCAGTAGTTTAGAGTATACCTCTTCACAATGAGGAATATGAGTTGATACAGACGAATGTGGAACAGCAGTAGTACTATTGGAACTGCAGTTGCCATCATATTAGAGATCTCCTCATCACTCATATGTGGGTTTCGTTGCTTCATCATGGTCTTAAAAAGTGCCTTCATACCATCCATCTCCCTCTTCATGCCATCCACTTCATCACTATGCTGCTTTTTAATAACCAAAATTTCTTCATTTCTTTTAAGCATGGTTAGTATCGTTGTTATTCCATAGCAACGAACTCGACCAAATTTTTCTTTTCCAAACAATGACTTAAATGTCTCAGATTCAGTTGAGTTCTGAACTGAATCTTGAAACTTAGCCTAATTAAAAAATATTCACAGCTTAGAACCACAAGATTGGAACCGACAAGTCACAGTTTCATTCGAATGTCTTACATCAAACAAAGAAGTAAAAATAAAAAAGGACCAGAAAATTGGTTTTCCCTGTAGTAGTTCAAGTTCTTATTTGTTGTATCAAGAAAACTAAATCCCAAAATACAAAAACATGAAGAATTCATAGTCAGAGTAGAGATCACCATATAAAAGGATAACAATGAGAATACATGAGTCTATAACACACCCAATTACGTATTAGTGTCCGTGTGTAACACATAAGTACTTACACTTTTTCATTGTATCATACACATGTAAATGACGTGACAAAGAAGGAAATTAGTTGCAAGTATCATTTATGTGAGAGAAAACTGCTTTAGTTCCATTATCAGAGATAATGAATTTATCCTACAACAAAGAAGGAAATTAGATACAAGTAACGAATTAAGGGACACAAGTAACAAAATTAGAAAAACTCCTTTTGATCATTCAATAACAAATTTCCATATATGGTCTTTGTTAGCATCCTTCAAGGATTTGAAGTTAGTATAAACTAAGGGACACAAGTCTGAATTCCTTGCGACAGTGCCAAGGAAAAAAACTCAAATCTGACACGGTTTGATCATTGGGTCCAATAGGGTCTCCATCATCGTCTAAGACCACCTCTTCACGATCCTCACTCTTTCTAGCATGGATTTACAAACATTGTGTAAGTCCATGTGTTCTTTTCTTACTTGTCCATGTGTTAGATAAACTATTAAAATGGGATATAAATTTGAATGAAACAATAATTAAGAATAATGCATGACACAAGCAAATTTTACCATCTTTAGTTTTTTCACTTTTAATTTGCTCAGTGTTTTCTTCTTCACCCATTATATTTTCTTCTTCCTCAAAATTTTCACCTTCATCTTCGTCTTCACCATTTTCCCCATTTTCTTTGAAGAATTCTTCAACTGAAGTCGATCTCCACATTGGGATTATTTTTGTCTTCTTCAAGGCACTTTCTTACTCTGTCCTTGAATTTCCATCATCTTCCATCATTTCCCTTTTCATAGGATTCTGCTTTGACCTTGAATCAGTAGTGTCAACCACATGTTTCTTCTTAAGTTGATGGTTTGCACTTGAAGGTTGCTGCTTTACACTTGAAGGTTGTTGCTTTGCACTTGAAGACTGCCTGGTCCTTGAATCAGCAACTTCAAACCCTATTTTTCTGGAAGGTTGCTACCTAGTCCTAGAATGAGCAACTTTATGCCCTGTTTTTCTAGAAGGTTGCTTCCTGGTTCTTGAATCAGTAATTTCAGCCCCTGTTTTTCTGGAAGGTTGCTGCCTGGTCCTTGAATCAACAACTTCAGCCCCTGTTTTTCTAGAAGGTTGTTGCCTGGTCCTTGAATCAGCAACTTCAGCCCCTATTTTTCTGGAAGGTTGTGTTGTCCTCTTTTTGGTTTATACCTTCTTCATTTTCTGTTAACATTGAAAAAAAACATAACATTGGGAATAATTTAATCAAAAGAAAAAAGTAACATTTTAACCGATAGTATGCAGCAAATTTAAATAGCTAAATACGGAAGTAACACTCTATACATCAGTCCATGAAATCAAATAGAGTATCATCATAATCTGAATCCTCTCCATCACTTTAAGCTTATTTCATTTCATGAGAAGGTATTTCAGTTATTGTTGTAGGTATGTCCTCCCTAACCCAATTTAGTTCTTCATCATTATTTTCTCCATGGGAAGGTGTTTCAGCTTGTAAGTTTGAAGGGTCACCAATGGTAAAAAAATCTCGTGGAACTGTTTGTAGAACATAATTTCTGGTTGGATCAAAAAGGGTCTTGGACAAAGTAACATTGATGAACTTGAGAAGGTAGCACAAACGGATCATTCTGATAAATTTTCTTATTGAAACTCACACAAGTAAGTCTGTATTTGTCTTTTTCAACCTCAAACCAATCGCATTTAAACAACACAAATTTGAAGTTTCCATAGTAGTATAACTCAATTATATCAACAATTTCTCCATAATAAGTGATGGGTTCTGTCCCAGGATTTCCATCCTTGGAGCTAGCAAAACTTAAAGTTAGTGAAACTAAAGTTACACCAGAATTTTTGAGTTTTGCGATTTGTATCTCGTTTCGTAGTATGGAACCTATAGGCATTAATGATGTAACCTGCATACCTCTTTGCAACAAAATTAGGACCTCTATAAAGTTTTTCAAGTTGTAATGGCACATCATATTTATGGGCAGGAGTTTTAAACCATTCACCAAAATCTTTACTTTGACTTTTGGCCTTGGTTCACTTCTGTTTGTTAGTGTTTGAATTAACACTCCAATCATACTCACTATAAAAGTCAATAATTTATATGTTAACATAACTCTAAAATTAGGATTAGTAGATAAATACATAGGAGGACAAATAGTTGTCGCGTCTAAGATTTTTGTCGAAGCACGAACGTGGTGGAAAAGAAGAGTCGTCATCAATGTTATTTATCCCTAGAGAGGGAAAGGAAACACCGATTAAACGTAAAGGAAGAAAAGAACATGGTCATGCGACCAAGAGAAAGGGTAAGGAAGTCGATTATGCAAGGGAAAGGTATTAGCACCACTCACGTTTGTGGTACTCTACGGGATCCACTCAAGTTTGTTCTAATTTAAGGGTGTATAAAAATCTAAGTCTAAAGCTTAATACTAAAAGGGAATGCATGCAAAGTATATACAAAAAGAAATTTTTTATTAGTTGTGTCTGCCTCGGTTGCGAACCTTTGTATCGGTGTACCCCCTCCGTGAAATGAGAGATCAAGGAACTCGTAGTTCACCTAAAAAGGTGTTTTGGTTTGTTTTATGTTTTTTAGGCGGATAATGTAACATTCGAACTCTATTGCAACTCGGCCTTTAGGGAATTACGCGTTGTATTGCGTAGAATGGGAATAACATATCCTTTTTATGAAAAGGTTTCCGAAGAGAAGCTCGAAGGCAGCTCGAAGGCAAAAGGTTTGAATTGGTTTGTATGTTTTACCTTGAAAATGGATTTGATAAATTTTAGAGTGTTTTATGAATTTGATAAAGAAAAAGAGTTTTAGTTTTAACATGAATGCAAAAGAGAAAGACTAATAAAAGGGGGTCTCGATCCTAGAAGTTGTCATGCTTGTGGACCTAAAGTTGGGTAAGAGGTAGATCTACCTAATATTGTCATGCATGGATAACAAATCTAAGGTATATTTAGTTCAAACTTAGAGAATAATGAACTAAAGATCCTATGGGGAACATGGCAATCTCACAAAAGAGAAGAAGAAGCAAGCAATCATACACTTAGATGAGAGAGAAAGCAAGTATCACATAAACACACATGAAATTAGATAGAAATATAAGCACTAATCAATAATAGAAGAAGAGATGGACATAGACATGTTTTACATTTATCGCAAACCTCATGGTTAAGAAGAAATTCAATTAGTCATTGAAAACATGGTACAAACACCAAAGTACACAAACTAGTTTCAATCAAAGTTGTGATGTGAAGTGGGAACAAGTTTGGGATCAAGTGAACATGGCATGACATGTCAAGTAAGTGTTAAGTTGAAAGCAAACACATAAGGATAACACATATCAATATCCTCTAATATCCCTAAGGAATTACTACTAAATCACATTCAAAAGTTAGTACAAGAATGGGTCAATACCACACCCTAACATCCCACTAAAGGTGAGTGAAGTACAAGAAAGGGTAGATAGAGGGAACATATTTAGAAGGTGTCAAAACACAAAATTCAGTATAAAATGAACTCTAATTTCACACATTCAAACATCACAAGCATAGGGAGAAAATTGGATACATAGCACACAAAGGAAGTGGCCAAAGGAGACAAACAAAAATGTTCAATTTAAACAAGTAAAGATAAAATGATGGATGCATAATTGAAGAATTATGGAATGTGACTTGTATAACAAGTTAACTCAATACGAGATTCAAGAGTAACAAAGTAAGAATATGAAACTTCATACACAAGAAAAGTCACCTAATTGATGAATAACATCATCTAAAGATTGATGATACTTGTTTTAGATCAAATAAGATTGATAAAGATCAAGTAAGAGTGGAATGATATTTTATAGGTCCTAGGGTAATGGTGAATCCCTCATAAGACACCAATCATGAACTTAAATACTCAATAAAATATTGTTGTACCCCAAAATTTTCCCTCTCATATTTTTCCAAGATTTTCTCTTGCATGGGTGGTTACAAACATTTGCCTAAAGAAAAGGAAATTTTTTGAATGATGGTAAAGTGTCATTCGATTGGAATCTACAAAGTGCCCTTCGATTGGCATCTGCAAAAGGTCTTTCGATTGGCATGCCAAAGGGTCTTTCGATGGGCATCCAAATTGAAGAGGGAAACTCTGAATATTTTCAAATTAGAGCAAGGCTCCAAATTGACTTGTCCAGGTTCACTCAGGATTCCAAAATGGCATGATATATCTCAAAGTGGCAATCTTTTAATGTGTCTGATTCTGTTTTCAAGGCCATGTTTAATGTTTGGTCTTTAATACCATGATTCTTTTCCCATTTCCTTGTCTCCTCCACCATCTATAAATACAAGATATCAAACACAAATTAAAAAAGAGAGAAGAGGAAGGAGACTCACACGTAGACGAACATTTTAAACATGAAGAGATTACACACACCATGTTGCTCAAAAACCCCAAAAGCCTCCCAGTTGAAAAACCTTTTGCAGGTCCCCTCTACAAGAGTTCACACCAACTTCCCAGCAAACATTTCCATGCTCAAAGCCACCTTCGATTGGTAAGGGTTTGCAGAACCAAAATGGCACCTTCATGCTATTTAGATATACATTGCATGTATACTCTTGTTATTTCCAATATTTGTGTTGCATGCAAGCTAAAATGCAGGGATGAGATCGTGCCATCGCTAGGGCACGATCTGAGTTTTTTCCTTCGAATCACACCTCGGAAGCTCTAGGCCAAATAAACCCATATTTGAATTGGAGATAGATCTGGATAGAGGAGGGAATCGAATCAGGGGGGTAAAGTCCCCCTAGATCTCTAACGTTTGTGCATTTTGTAGGAATACCGTGTAGGGCTTCGAAGCAGCAAGCTTCGAATTGGGTGACACGGGAACCTTCTGCCATTTTTAGACCCATATTCGAATCTCATAATTTTTGGGATTGGAAGACGAATTAACTTCAGATTCGAACTAGAGAGGGAATCGAAAGACCTGAGTTCGACACCCAGGTCATGCAATTTTTGTTTTCTCTAACAAACTTGCTTGCAGATCCAATGTCCCAAATTGAAGGAGTATATCGTGTACCATCATTAGGCACATTCGATCAGCCTTCTCACCTGGATTGAAAGGCAGTCTTAGGCCTTTTGATCCAGACCTGCATCCTGCAGATCACCCCCTGATTTTTTTTTCCTTTTGCAGCGTCTGGGCCTGTTTTATTTTTTCTCTGGGCCTAACAAAAGTTCCAGCACCCCCCATTTTAATTCTGCAGATATGGCCCAATTTATTTTTTCTTTCTTTATTTTGTTTTTATTATTTAGTCCTTTTACTTTTTTTTATCATCAACAAACAATTAAAATCACAAAATAATTAGGATTTAGTTTTTTATTATTAAATAATTAGTTTTTAAAATTAATTAATTAATTAACTTTAACCTTTTTCTTTCAAAATTAAAAGTAAACTAGAATTTAGGACTTACTTTAATTTTAATATTTTTTTTTAGAAATATAAAAAAACCCACAAAAAGTTTAGTTTATTTTCTAAATAGACTTTAGGAAAACTAATTTAATTTTTTCTCTTAAATCAAAAATAAGCACAAAAAAAGATTTCTTATTGCCTTAGGTTCTTAGAAGTATTTTCTAACCTTTTGCGCGTTATTATTTTCTCGCATTTTATATAAATAATGTAACTGATTA